CCATCTCAGTTTCTATGCAAAATTCTTAACCAGAAAACACTCATAATGAATTTTTATTTTTATTTAGTAGTTGAACTTAGCAATATTACAGATGACCAACTACCATTCTTTATGCTTCCTATTTGCGTTTTTCATCATTTATATTGAACGTAAAATCTACATGTACGAAATATCAACATCCCTAATAAATTTATTTTCACTTAAGAGAGTGGACACCCAAACTTTATAAGAGACTGAATATTAAATATCTCATAATTTTATGCTGGAAATGATTTACTTAAAAGTGCAGAGGCTTATTTCTAAGATTTACTAGGAATGGCAAAAAATAGACAAAAATCCTAAGGATGTTTTACCACAGTTAAACTTTCATACATCAAGCCTGTGTGTATGGCTATGATTTTTATAAGCATACACATAGAAACATGAATAGGTACTTTTTAAGAAAAGATTTTTATTTTTTTTATTGAAAAGTCAGATCTACAGAGAGAAGGAAAGACAGAAAGATCTTCCATCTGCTGGTTCACTCCCCAAGTGCCTGCAATAGCTGGAGCTGAGCCAATCCAAAGCCAGAAGCCAGGAGCTTCTTCTGGGTCTCCCATGCGGGTGCAGGGTCCCAACATTTTTCCAGACCATAAGCAGGGAGCTGGAAGGGAGGTGAAGCAGCTGGGTTACAAGCTAGCACCCATACGGGGATCCCAACACATGCAAGGTGAGAACTTTAGACAGTAGGCTACAGCACTGGGCCCATGAATAAGTACTCTTAAAATACTGCCTCACCTTGGGGCCAGCAGTTTGGTAAAATGCATTAAGCCTCCTCCTGTCATTCTGGCATCCCATATAATGCCAGTTTCAAGTCCCAATTGCTCTACTTCCAGTCCAGCTCCCTGCTATTCTGCCTGGAAAGATGATGGAAGTACTTGAACTCTTGCCACCAATACAAAGGACCTGGATGGAGTTCCAGGCTCTTGGCCAATGTGGCCATGTGGGGAGTGATTGGGTGGATAGAAACATTCTCCCTCTCTTTCAAATAACTTTCTAATCAAAAACCAAATCTGCCCCCTTTATTTATACACATTTTTTGTAGATTTCATGTTGTATTTATACTTACAGGTTTTTTGGAGGGGGATGAAGGGGACTTTGTTTTGCATCTGCGCCCTGTATACTTGGCCTCAAACCCAGAATAACAAGAGCTATCTGAATACTTTAATGAGATGTAAGCTTAACTCCATTGTTAGGACTTAGAAATTCTTAAACTCTGATTTTGGAAGAACGAGCTTGTTGCTCTTGCATTATGCATTCGTCCCTGTATTTCCCTTCTTTGTGGTCCTCAGTAATGCTGGCACTGTGATTCTGCATCCTGATTACAAGAATTTGATATGCAATTCAGGTGTCTGACATTATTCCAAGCATAGAATAAAACCCAACCAGTTAGTGCAAGAGTTGTTAACATTTTCCTAAGGCAGCTGCTCACGTTGAACAAATGAGGACAAATGAGTGTGCATGCCTGTTAGAGCTGCATTTGCAGGGTTTAGCCAAGCTTTAATATCCCTCCAGCTCTCATGTTTGGAGGCAAAGTTCAGATGTTCACTAGTCAGATTCTCCATCTTTCTCCCTGGAATTTTGTCCAAGAGGCTATGGATGTCAGTACAATCTGCAAGTTTGGTCTCTGTCTTGGCTGTCAGAATTTTCACTGCTCTACAGGTATATCCATGAGCACCAAGGAGCCAGTACTGTCCTGGTGCTTCTGTTTGGAAAGGGATTCATGGGGGTGCTGTCACTTTGGCATGGGGATGAATGCACCCATATACCTTACCTGAAGTAAGCCGTGTCCATTTTTCTGTACCTTGGCTAGAATGGTTGGCTTGTGGGTCTGCAAGACAGCACAGGTAACTAATGTCAGGAAGCCCAGACATAAGGTTACTGTTGCAGAGGAAGCCTTGTCTGGTGCTGGAGGCCGGGAAGAGGCCTCTGAACACCAGAACAGGCCTCCAAACACCAGGCCAGAGTCCTGGAATCTTCCTTCACTTTTCATGGATGATTTCAGCATTTGCATAACACCGCACAGTGCTCTGAGAGCCCAGGAAATTAGGGATCTGAAGAGCAGACTGTTCATGCCAAATTGCACTAACCCTGGGGACTGTGTGGGAAAAACAGTTGTCAGATTCAAGAGGTGCTTTTCTGTATCCTACTGAAAAAGCAGCACAACCATTTTTACCCTGATGGGGATAAAGCATTCTCTGGACATGACATGTGGTTCTCTTTTTGGTAGTGAGAGAGATAACACAGAGAGAAGTTAGACTTGTACAAAAGCAAGCCGATCCATCTGTGTCATCGCCTTGCCTTACACTTGGTTGCGTTCCTTTTCTTGTCCACACATAAGGGCTCCTTACTGTTCTTCCAGATGAGAATTAAATAGCAGGTTTTCATTATTGCTTTTACTCAGCACCTATCAAGCTGTCCTGTGTTTTTTAATCTGGTGCATCCCTATTAATATTGAACCACAAGGAATTTTACAAGTGTAGTTGCTTATTTCCTACAGGAGAAAACAGAACCCGCAAAGCAAAGGGATAGCTTAGTTCAATATTCAATGTCCTTTCATTGGATTAGTAAAAAAAAAAAAAAAAAGTTCAGGGCTTGGCTTGCAGTGTACCCAGGGAGGCACTGTGGGGAGACAGAAGGCTGTGAACAGCTCCCTGCCTGATGTTCACAAGGTGGCAGAAGACTGCAGAGACCAGCAGGTTGTTGTGGGAGCCGTGCCTTGCTCCAGGGTTCTTTGCCATTTCTTTCTCTCCATCGCCTGTGCTAGAAAAACAAAGAAAAACAGCAGCTGAGTCTTGGTGAAGCCCAAAAGGTTTCCGAGACATGGAGACATGACATCTTACAGTTACTACGAAAACACACAGCAGAACAGATTCTTGCTTTTGAATGCCTGGGCTATGATCAGAACTCGCTATTTCTAAGCTTCTAAAAAGTAACACTTGCTATCCTAACAGTTTTTGTTTCCAAAAAATAGCCATTCATACATTATTGCTGTTTTTCATTGCCATAAAGATTAAGATTCATGAGTCGTGGAGAAAACAGTTTGCTTTCAATAAAAAAATGCAAAAAAAAAAGCAGCAGTAAAATGAATGAAAATATGAAACCATCTGTGTCTAAAGTGATAATGCCAGTCTGAGGTTTACTGTAAACAGTAGTATTTGTTCAAGTCCACCTCAAAGGCGAGTGCTTTAGTATGCGCACACACACACACAAGGAAAACGCATCCCCTCTTCATTCACAGATCATCATATATGCACCTCGCACAGCTGGACGTGTGCGTATGTGACATGTATATCAGCGTACTGCAGAAAGATAAGCTTATTTTGATGCAGAAAATGTTTAACTGAGAGACAGAGCTCCCACATGCTAGCTCACTCCCTAAATGCCCACAAAAGCCTGGGCTTAGCTGGCAGCTTGACCCAGGTCTTCCAGGAGGGCTGTGGGAGCCCAGCCGCACTGCCTCCTAGGGTCTGTGTTAGCAGGAAGCTGGAGCCAGCAGCTGGTGCTGGAAATGGAACCAAGGCATGGGAAATATGAAACCATCTGTGGCATCCAAACCAGCTTGTCCACCACCATGCCAAATGCCTCTGTGCTACAGAACTGAAACCTACACACAGTTTTCATTCTCCTCCTTAAATCAACCATGGATATAAAATTTGGGGGCATAATTTCTTTTAATTCTATTTTTCCATGAACTTTACTTTTCTAGTGCTCTTGATAAGAAGTCGGCATAGGTAACGTGCCAACCAAACAGGAACCTCCATCTGTCACTTGAAAAATAATCCAGCTCCTCATTACCTCTGGAACTTGGCAGGGCTGCTGTGAGCAGCCTGGGCTGTGCCCATCTATTATTCTAGTCTTTGCTGTGTCATTATTTTCCCCAGGTTTGACTTGAGCCACATTCCCTCGCTCAGAATTCCCCAAAGCGGTACCTGTTCTACAGAATACAGGTCTGTAAACTCAACAGCAACACAGGGATGGTAGAAGCTCAACCTTTTCACCTATAAAAGCTGACAAAACCCTGGTATCCCAGCCAAGGAACTTCAACGCTGTATCCTACACCCCTTTCCCTATGCTGCAAGCCCCACCCCAGGACCCTTGCCTGGCCTTCTGCTAGGTTGGTCTCCCCAGGCCTCATTCACTTATCAGGGCTGCTAATCTCTGCCACAGCCGTTTGTTTATTCTGCATCCCTTCCTTGGCATTTGATAGTTATATTCAGGAATTTTGTGAACCCATCTTCTTACTGAGTCTCCTGGAGAGGGTCTTAAAAGTTCTGCAGAAAGACTGCCTGGTTACTTGGTTAGGACGGTAAGGTGACAAGGTGACGGGCTTGAGATGCCCGCCTCCATTCCTCTTCATTTCAATGCAAAGCTTAATAGATGGTGGGGACAGATACTAGCTGAGTTGGAAACCTCTTTGGAGGCCACCGTTAATTCAAGAAGTCTGTATTAACTTAGTGTTTCTGGAGCATCAACCTTTGTAAGATGCTGCCCATTTGATATATTTTTTTTTCTTTGAAAAAAAAAAAGAGAGAGACTGCAGTCCCTGAGCCAATAAATCACTCACCTGAAGGTCAGGCACAGCCCTGTCTTCTTTTTCTCAGCTGGTCAGTCTGGGAGGGGGCAGTGAGGGAGAAAGGCCCCCCGCGTTCATCTAAGTGGAAATCCAGAGGTTAACGCTCTTGGCAACTGTCTCGAGGCGTTGTCCCCGGAGCCTGACCCAGCGCCAGCACCGAGGCTGCTGTTCCAAGCTAACTGTCCTTAAGTACTGCGGCGGCCCCCTCCCCCGCGCCTGGGAGGGAAGTCGCGGCGAGGTTGGCTTGCTTCGCACCGTGTCTGGGCGTGGGCCCCGCCGCAGTTCCGCGGAGCCTCCGAGTCTCCTGCTAAGGGGGGCGGGGGAGCCTCCGCGAGCAGCCCTGGGCTGCGGCTTCCTCCCCACACCCGAGTCTCCTGCGCACCGCCGACCAGGACGCCAGCGGCAGCCGCGTCCCAGCACGCCACGGCGCACCGGGCCTCCCCACCGGCCCCAGGTAACTTTTCTGCTTCCCAGAGTACGGGGTGGGGAGAAGAATCCTCAAGGGGTCTTTGCTATCCGAGGTGCGGAGGGTGAGCCCGAGGCCGGGGACCAGGCGCGCGGGGTTGTGCAGCTGACGCGTGGCTCCAGAGTGACGCGGCCGCCCCGAATCGCAGGAGATGGGCGCTGCGCGCGGCCCAGCCACGGTCCCCACCTGCCCGGGAGGACCCCCGTCTCCAAGCCCGACCGGGTCCAGCCGGTGCGCCGCGCTCTCCGCTGGGGGACATCCACGCTCCTCCCGCCGCGCTGCAGCATCCGCTGGGTCGGCGCGCAGAGCCTACGCCTCGGCCTCCGGCCTGGAGCCCTCCTTCAGAGCCCTGCCCGAGAGGGGCGACTTGGTCCCCGCGTCCCTGATCTGCCTATTTGCGTAAATCCCTCATTCGGGACGCCATGTTTTAAGTTATCCCCTGGGCTAGGGGTGAGGGCGGGCGGGCGGGCGGGCAGCCACTCCCCGCGGGGAGGCGCGGAGGACGAGGGGGCGACACTGCGTCGCACCACCGGGTTGGGGGGAACGGAGGAGGGCCCCAGCACCCTGTGCGCTGGCGCGCCGCAGCTTCAGTCAGACTCGTCCCGGGTGCAAGCACAAGCGGGCGCGACGCGGGGCTGGTAAGGTGCGTTTGGCACAAAGCACAGGGGCTCGGCCGCTTTTATGTAACTTGCCTCCTTCCCGAACTAGGGCAGCGTCCCCTGGCTGGAGGAGAGGCGGAGAGCCCGGCTGTTCCGGGCCTGGGCACCTGCGGGGCTCCCTGTGTCCCCTTCCCCCCCGCCACCTCCCCGCGGGCTCCCCTGCGCGGAGCGCGAGCGCATACAGGCCAGGGGCACCGAAGACGCCCGAGGTGGCTGCTCCGGCCCGGGGCCCCACACGGAGCTGCTCACCTGGCGCCCGTGGGACCCGGAGCCGCCCGGGGAGGTGTCTGCGAGGGCGGCGCTGCGGCGGTGGGGGTGGGGCGGCCGGGGCTCCGGACCGCTGAAGTTGGGGGGTCTCAGCCAGTTCCGGCCGAGGGTTTCCTGGCTCCTGCCTCCTGCTTGCTGCCGCAGGGGTTTCCTTTCTCGGGTTTCCCCCCCTCTCCTCTGGCCCCACTCTGCCTCCCCTTCCCCTTCCCTCCCTCGGGTGCCAAGTTCACGGCTTCTGCAATGCGGTGGGTGTGGTTACCTAGTAAATTGTAACTGTGGTCTTTTGCGGTGGGGGCGTCCTTCGCTTTCCTCTGTTTAACGGATATGAAGTTTTCTAGGTTTTTCTTTCTTCTCCAGTTGCAGCTCAGGGTTAAAGTTGGGAAGCGATTGTTGCTGAACAAATAGCATGATAAAGAAAACATGTGGTATCAATTACGTGTGGCGGCCGGGCTGGGAAATCCTGAGGGCCGAGCTGTCCTACTCGTGCAGCACCCCCATGACGTGTTCAAGTTGGTGTTTCAGCGTTTTGAACCGAAATCTTGCAGAATTGCTTTTGCAGATACTCTGCCTTCTGCTGGTTTGGTCCTCTGTGGACTCCCCCAGGTGCCAGGGGTGCTGGTGGCACCGACTTCCCAAACAGAGGAGACGTCATGGCGTTTGCTGGGAACATTGCTTGTGAATTTTACATTGTTCTTTATAAAACCTCAGAGAAATACAAGCGCTAAGCCTCCTCATTTTTCTGGGATTCTCGAACGACCAGTTGCAGCAAATGAGTTAGTAAAGCCCTGTTAAGGACAGGGAGCGGCCCATGGGTGGCTTCAGTGAGTCCTTACCCTGGGAAAGAATGTGGAAAGCATCGCGTGTTGGGGCTGATCTCAGACTTTTAAAACTTGTCAGATCCCAGTAATTCCCAGAGGAATAAATTCTAAGCTGGAGAATCTGATTTATTTCCAAGGTGTAGATGGAAGATCAAGGTGAATTCCCAGTACAGTTCTGTGTGTGTTATTGATGACGTAGAATATAGATTACTGCACAAAGACAAATCACTTATCAATAAAAATACGAAATCCCTTCTCTCTGAAGGATGGAGGAGCCAAAGGTCAAAGGTTAGGTCTCAGTGAACTGTGTGCAGTTAACTTTTTATAATAAACGGTTTTTGTGTCGTCCTGCACGCATGCAATGTAGGCTGAAAGTGGTTTTTGTCAGTTCCTGTACCCAGTGCTTGGACTTAGGCCAGCACGCAGTTATGGGATCACAGTTGTTGTTGTTGTTTGTTAATTTGATGAGACGCAATTTTGCCTATAAGTTGCTTTTTAAAAAAATTAGTTGATCAGATGCGGTAAAAATTAGATGATGTTCCCTGGTAGAAGAGCAGTGGCCACCAAGGTCCTGAGAGCTGTGAGGTCACCCTGCTGTTACTCCACGTTGAGGCAGCTGGCAGAGATGGGGCAGTTCTGGTATGTTTTTCCCCCCATATTATATCATGTACATTCATCTTTTAAGCTAGTACTCAAAAAAAAAATACCTTGGAATCCACAGGCTAGAATTCTTGTCCTGCCAATAAAACAGAATTCTGAGACGTTGCCTTTCTGTGAGAATTTGAGTATCAGGAGGGGAGAGTTTAACAAGTCCTCTCTCCCCGCCATCCTTCATTTGTCTCATCTCTTCCAAGTGCCCCGTCGCGGTTTTCCTCTTTGAATGTCAGCTTTATTATGGAATATAGATTGGCCATTGAAAAGAATGAATCAGATTTATCTTCAGTGCCACTTCATTTAGAGAGACCCTTCATGGTGCAATGGCTGCACCCGTTTCTTTCAGAAGACTGGCTAGCTGCTAATTTGTCGGGAATTCGTCAGGCACTCTGGGCTCCTGGAGGCCTCTGTTGTCATTTGATGTGCGCTGCCTGCAAAGAATTCTGTGCTCCGAAGCCAGGCCTGGAGCAGTGAAGTCACTGGGCTGCCTGGCGTTGTGACATCACTATGGCTCAGAGAAGCAAGGGTGGGGCAGGCAGCAGCACACCTCGGAAGCATCTCGCCGGCTGGCCTGAACTTTGCCTCCTGAGTGAACAATACTCCACTCTCTCGAGTTGAACTACAGCACAAGGTAATGTCTTGGAGAATGGCAAGGCAGATGTGTCAGACTGCAGAGGCGGGAGAACAAGGAAGCCAGGGGTTTGTCAGAAATTGTTGACTAGTCTTTTACAGAGGAGAACACTGTCATGCTTTGAAAGGGACATGTAAAAATTATCTCCAGAACAGGAATAATCGGTTTATTTATGCCTTGAGTTCTATTTCTTGCTGTTCTGTGTAATGAAATAGCTTGCTTGTAAATTCTTAGTTTACAGTGTGTAAGTGTTGCTTTTTAAAGTGTACGCTGGCTATAAAGATGTGGTTTATTTTCTGGAAAAGCAGTGTTCTTTCTCATTTATTTTTAAGGGTGTGATTGTAGTTGGCAATTGGACAGAGATGGAAACAGCTAGTGATTTCACAGGCGCAGAATTGTGAATATTTACAGTGAATTCAGGGTCATTGATTTCCATTACGGTTTTTGGTTTCCTTTGCGAAACATTTTGGAGTTTAGCATTTTAATCCTAATTTAGAATTCTAGGGCAGAGATAATCAGAGGCACGGTTCGGTCAAATTAGTGTTGAATCGATTATAAAGGGCAGATGAACTGGGAAATTCCGAAGTGCGTTTTGTGTTTTGTTTCTGGATTCATGTGCTGTGAGCATTGAGAATGCAGAGCTGCAGAAAGGCTGTAGGGCCCTGTGTGTCCCATGCATCCTCGCTAGGAGGACTGTTGTCTTCCGTGGTGAGTGTGCTGCGTGTGTAGCACTCTGAGCACCTCTGACCTGTGTGGTTGTTTCAGAGCTGAGTTCCAAAGCTAAAGGAAGAACATGGGAAGAGTGGTGCAAATAGGTTCTGTTGAGAAGAGGTCCCAAAAGTGTGGATCCCTTACTTGGTTTGAAATGTCGTCACAACTGTATTTTTAGACTTGAAGATGACTGGTTAAATTGCACACTTTAGACTTGCAAGCTTCTGTTCACACCAAGCCCCTAATTCCTTTGTAATTTGCAGTACCAAGAAAAAGCTGACAACTTAATTTTTAGATGCTGATGGTTGGATGCGTTGTTCTTATAGCTCTTCTTTCCTGATTGGGAGGAGGGGAGACGTGGGAATTGATCAATGCACAGAGTTCTGTGTTAGAGGTAGAAAACAGATGCGATTTACTCTACCTCCTGGTTTCTCCCACTCTCTAATTACACTGAATGTATGCTGGATGTGGGACTGACTTTTCTTGGAATTTTATCCCTAATCAAGTAGAAATCTAAACACTTCTGGCATTAAGTCATTATTTGTGGAACTGAGTTAAAACAGTGACTTACACTTCACTGTAAACATACTCGATATGTGTTAAAAAAGCTACTTTATTTTAGAAATGAGAACTACCGGATTCGTGTGTGTATGGTCATTATGTTTAATGGTGTGACCTTTGTAATTACTGTAACACATATTGGGTAAGTTCTAGAGATTTTTGCCACATCACAGGTGCAAATACTGCAGGTACCCAGCGAACTGAAGAGTTGTTTTGGAGGAAGCACTGCTGGGAACCCGCTTCCTTTCCTGCCATGTCTAATTGGTGACTTGAAGGACATTACTGTAGATAGAATACTGAAGAGCAGGAGAGGGGTCAGATGGAGGGGAGCAAGAGCTGAAATGGACTGTTGCTGGGAGATGCTGTTGATCCTGCTGCTGGAACACCAGAGAAAAACTTTTCTGCTGTGGATCTGTCTCCTGTGGTTGGTTGTTTTTCTGTCTGCTATACATACTCTCAAATAGAACATGACTGTGTGTTCTAATCAGCCCCGATTTTCATCATTTGTCCCACGAAGGTTTTTCCATATGCAGTGTCTTTGAAATTGGGATATGTTTTTATCACGGCTGTCAGCCATGTGGCAGAGGGAAAAAAATCGGCAGCTTAACTCATGTAACTGAGTGTTCATCAGAAGTCGGGGATTGCATGTCAGCTGGTGGGAAGGAGATGCTGGAGACGGTGGAGCAC